TCGCCTCAGGATGCCATGAATGCTGCACCCAATAAGCAGGTGGCGCCGAATAAGTAATTACGCAGTACCAGTAAACAGAACTTATATCAAACGAGCCAAGTCACGTGCTGGGGACAACGATCTTCCACGGCCGTCCTTGATGTCCTTCGGCCACTTTCCCCGTATGTCCCACATTGTGTGGATGTAGCCCTTGTAGAACTCGTGGCAGTACCTTAGAAAGGTTTTAAATTCGCAAAACTCTTCTGTTGACTGTTATCGCTTGACAAAGCCAGGGCACCCAGCCATCACGTCGCGGCCTTTGCCTTCCCCTTGGCGCCGACCTGAGCTGACAGGGCGGTGACATGCATTGCAGTGGATCATGACCCTTGCAATGCAAACATTCCATCTGCTTCCCAAGCTGCTGAGACTCGGGTACTTCCACTCGGCGCCGAAGGGGACCACCACGCCCGCCATGTCCAACGTGGTGCAGGAGAACATGGCGAAGGCGAAGACGAAGGCCAGTGGCGAAGGCGAAGGACGATGGCGGGCGTGGAGAAGGCGAAGGCCAACCGCGAAGGCGAAGGACAATGGCCGACGTGGGGCTACAAAATTTAGGTTAGAAGCTGTGAAGGATGAGGTGAGAAGTATTACTGGATTAGCATAGCATTATTGACAAAGACTTCTAAAGCCCTGAATCACTGAACAAGAATTTAGGATGGGTGTCTGACATGACACTGCCAAGGATCTGACTGAATCAACGATTAGGAGTTTAAGATGGGTCTCTGACATGACTGCCAAGGATCTGACTGAATCACTGAATTTAAGTAGGGTGTCTGACATGACACTGCAAAGGATCTTCGGAACTTCATGTCACGACGTGTGCACTTGAGCCCGGTCACCACAATCAAAGCAAGTCAGCTGGTGCAATGGTGCAAGAATGTCATGCATGCACCCTCTCGGCAACGAGAAGAAGCTGAAGGGACCTCTTCCGGCAAGCACCGTGAACCAAAACAATGATGATGAGGAAGAAATGCGGGACCTGGCGTATGCACAACATGGCTCCACACCAAGTTTGAGCATGCTAAGCTAGGGCAGCTGCCTCGAAGCCCATCCGAGTGGTTCTGTTAGCCAGCCTGTCATGCATTTTTCACAGACTCATAATAAAAAGCTATGCTCGCGGCACCTCCGTCGAAAGCGCAGACGAAATCGAGATGTCCAACTTGTTGACCTGATGATCATCTAATCACTCTCAAGAATCTAAGAAACCAGAACGATAAGTTGCGGACCCAGCTGTGCACGGACTCCACCGAGATTGTGGACGGGATGATCACTTCATTCACTGCTAAACTGTTAAGCATCTGAGTCTGAGAAACCAGCCCGGCTGTGAACATAGCTGACATCGGCAATGAAATTCAGTCTGGGACCTTAATCACCAAGAGGAAAAATCATTGAACTGAAAGCGTGTAAGTCTCAGCTCCTGGCGCCAGCTTCAAAATAGAAGCCGAAGCATGCCACCTGGCCATGGAATGCTGCAAGGGAACCGATTTGGCGATGGCAGTCACCTGCCTCGAAGCCGAAATCGAAGACCTGCAACAAATTCTTGGGAAAGACATTCGAAATCAAGAGCAAGACTGCAACTGAACCGGCCTCCGAGACCATCCAGAGCAGAAATCGTCCACCACCATAGCCAACCTGGCAGGTTCAAGCACAATGGTGGATGTTAGCCAGGGCCCCTTGAGCACGCCTGGTTGCTGGGGCCCACAACGGAGCTCACCCAGCAGGGTAGGTACTGGGGCCCCGGAGTGGAGCTCACCCAGCAAGGTTCACCAGGGCCCGATTGAGCTCACCTGGAGTTGCTGGGGCCCCGAGTGGAGCTCACCCAGCAAGGTGGACCAGGGCCCGATTGAGCGCACCTGGTTGCTGGGGCCCACAACGGAGCTCGCCCAGCAGGGTACTGGGGCCCCGAGTGGAGCTCACCCAGCAAGGTGGACCAGGGCTCGAGAGCTCACCTGGTTGCTGGGGCCCGGTGAGGGAGCTCGCCCAGCAGGTTGACCAGGGCCCTTTTGAGCTCACCTGGTGTACTGGGGCCCGCAAGGGAGCTCACCCAGCAGTGGTTGACCAGGGCCCGATTGAGCTCACCTGGTTGCTGGGGCCCCGAATGGAGCTCACCCAGCAAATACCAGGGCCCGTTTGAGCTCACCTGGTTTACTGGGGCCCAAGTTGGGCACACCCAGTAGATTCTGGATTGGGGCCCCGAAGAGCTCGCCCAATCCCTTCACTGGGGCCTCTAAGCAGGCTCACCCAGTAAACCCAACCTAACCTAGAAAGAACCCACCCCCGGCCTCCAATCCAACCAGCGAAGAAGGCGAAGGCGACGCGAGACCTCGAGATTTATTTTAGGGGGGGGGGGGGGTTGGGGGTTAAGTAGGGTTTAAGGTTTATGTTTTTAGGGTTTGGGTTTAGGGTTCGTTTAGGGCATGGGTTTAGGGTTTAGATGTTTAGGGGTTTGTTTTGGGTTTTAGTTAGTATATATAGGTTTAACAGTCTAGGGGTTAAGACTGCAGGGTTTAGGGTCTTTAAGGCATTTGGTTTGGGCGTGGTTTGGGGAGCTTACTTAAGGGTCTTAAAATCACACCCCCCCCTCAAAAACAAACACAAACCCGAAACACAGAACCCCTAAAAACCCCTACTAAAACAACACAAACCCTTAGACCCTGAATCCCCAAACCCTACACAAAATCACCGAATACCAAGGACCGTGACCCGCCCCTAGACCCCGAAATTCGTTGCCCTCCCTCTAAAACAAACACAAACCCGAAACACTGAACCCCTAAAAACCCTTACTAAAATAACACAAACCCTTAGACCCTGAATTCCCAAACCCTAATCTCCTAGATCAAAACCACCGAATACCAAAACCCCTGATCCCCTCTAAACCCCGAATTGAGACCCGGGCGGAATTGTAGATGTAGGCGATCGTCGCTAGGGCCGTTCAGCTGCGGGACTCTGAGCGCGGTTATTTATTAGAAGACCAAGACCAGGGTGGGAATACTAAGTTGTTACTAGTATACCAAGACGAAAGCGAAGACCAACCCTAGAACAATCTATAGCCCCAGCCCTCAGGTACGAGTCTTAAAATCATCCTTAAAACACAGCTCCCAAATTCCACTTCTATTCTTGGAGCCCCTGTATGATTTAAGGAACCCTGTTGAACCTTGAAAAGATGCAGATGCCGATCTGCGTGCACGCGCGTGCACACACTCAGTTCGACCGTTTGCAAGGCAGCACTGCACACCCCCTTACAGCACACAATCACGTCACGTCAAGCATGTCATGTTTTGTACCAAACCTATGTCATTATGGGTTATCATGGGAGAACCCAAGACCTGAGACGTGCATATTGACATGTTGGTTCACGCCGCTAGTTCTCTGGATGTCAATGCGTGTTTTCTGCCTCACGCAGCAAATGATTGCACATGCTACATTGGCACACTTCTCCGTCTCGATGTAACCCTGCGCCGACCTCCCGTTTCCATTCGAATCAACGGAAGCCAAAGACAGAACTCTCTTGGACTCCCGGTGGCCGGACTCGGTCAAGAGTGTAGCTGGGCCCGTCGGCTGCAGATGTGCCGATGTGCCATGAATCCACCGACAGCCAGCAGTTTCTCGTCCACGCACCACTGGACACCATCTTCGTCGTAGACTAGGCTCAGCGCTGTGACGCAACTCTGCTTCGAGCCCAGCTTGTCTCACAGTCTTGGCAATGGCGTGCATTTGTAGCCAACAGTCGCACCCAAACTCTTGATATCTACAGCAGAACCCTGGCTCACTGTGACCAAACATGCCTCCCTGCTCCCCTTGTCATACAAGAAGAAGTTGTGAGTGCTGTGACCAACTCAACGACCTCTTGCATCGATTTGGTTGGTGGGGTCCAGCACGACATTCACCGCTTTGGCTGCGAGATTCTTAATTTTTTCAGACAACACGATCGCATTGCAGATGTTGAGGCCCGTTAACCCCTCCCTGCTGCCTGCGACTTCGCAGCTTGCTTGAGTGGCTCCGCAAACGATCACCGCCAATGGCCTTCGACTCTTGCTGTCTTCGATTCGCAAGGCTAAAACTTGTGTGTTGTCCTTGCTGTTTCTCCTTGGCTACTGCACCTGCACCGTGCCAATGTATGCAAACGTCAAGCACACCTGTGAAGACACCATGAGATGCCATGTGCTGCTACGCCTTAGGCCCCGAGAGCCTAGGCGAGCAGACGAAGTGTGCAGAAGAAGTCTCCATGAGGCCAGTGAGTCTGCTGCACACAAGTTGGGACTACGCTGGTTCTCCTAAACTGCCGCGTCCTGGTCCGCTAGACTTCTGCGGGAGACCGACACGGCTCCTTTCGCCGATGCTCTCCATGGCTGGTAGTGCTCCGATGCTAAATAGCTTGTCTGCTCTTATGTTCACCAGTTACTTGGCAAGTACTCGAGGAAGAGCCGATTCATTCATTCATCGGAGCTTTTTGAGAACACTAATTTTGACGATACCTGCTGCGAAGCACAGAAACGAAGAGTGCCATGAGCGACTTTCGATCATTGGCCGGCTTGCGCACTTCCAAGCACCAGGCAGGGACACACAGCGATGGTTTTGCTCCTTTGGCTCCTCTTATCAGCAGATGGCAGGTGCGCAGGACGCCTGCAAGCAGATCGCGAGCAGATATGGGAAGCCTGTGGTCTCACCTCGAGCTCAGGCGGAGGCGATCTTCGGCCACAACTCTGCGCATTCTTTGGCCACTGGGCCTCACTCTGCCATGCTGAGACAGAGGACTGCCCGAAGCACATGAAGCATACGCTTGCATTGCAGCACCTGAGGTGGGGAGGCTCCCCGTTTGTGCAAAACCATGGACGATGCTGAAGGGATGCGTGGGGCACAGGCCCTGGATGGCCGAACCCTTCATCTCACCCTTGTCGTTCACCTTGCACGATCGAGCAGAAGGCTGCCAGTTGAAGGGATGTCCTGAAAGGTTCCGGCGATCACGCCGGCATTGTCCTCGAAGTAGACCTCACTATCGGCGACACGATCCATGTCTGAGGGAGTCTACCCCGACACTGCGAGTACCAGGCGTAGACGCCCTCGCGGCGCCTCCAGGCTTTCTTCTGGCGGATCCTCAGCTCTCAAGCTCCCTAAAGCTGCCCTAAACCCTGTCACCTTGCTGAGCCTTGCTGCGTTGCGAGGCACACCTTTCTTCTGGGGTGTAAAACGATCAAGCCAGGGGCACAAATCACGCAGCTCTTTTCAGCACGCGATCTTTACCGAAACTAGTTTCGCCGTCGAGCAGCTTGTTCAATCGGATTCGGTGCTGCACGGCTGCCATATGCAAGCGCATGTCACGAGGCTTGCATTCGAACTGCGGCTCTGTTTTGAATTTAAAACCTGTCACCTTGCTGAGCCTTGCTGCGTTGCGAGGCACACCACGCCCTTCAGCACCTTCTTCCGGAGCTCAGGCTTGCCTGGAATCTGGAACAGAGCACACGCTCCCCCCAATTCTCGCCAGGGAGACCGCGCGCCTTTCTTCACACTGCAGAGGACGAGGTCTCCGGGAGAGCAGTTCGGAAGCTTGTTGAGTCGGCCCCCGATCCCGATCCTCGCCAAGAAGCAAGTTTTTGTATCCAAGGCCCAAATGCAAAGCATCAGCCCAACGGTTATGGCCATGGGTCACCGCAATGATGTAGAGGTTCTTGGCCTGGGTGACTCTGAAGGGCCCGTGTTTCGCATGTTCGGAGCTGTGGTTTGGAGGACGCTGACGACTGCCCAACACGGGTGTAGCTCGACATCTGGGCCGTTCTAGCGGTTCTCGTTCTCATAAACGACACAACATCGCCCCGTCAAAAGGCACGCACGCGCATACACCAGGGAGGGAAGGGGCGCAAACCAGAAACGAACCACGTCCAGCCACCCACCATCCAGTGGTTCCAACCAGCCGGACAACCAGCTGGTGTTGCTGTGTTGCTATTGCAAGCTCACAGACATCACAGTTTAGTGGTCCACAAGGGCGAAGATGCTTTAAGGGTCGGACCCCGCTGTTGTCTGCGCAGTTCAGCAAGGTGGCCACCTGGCAACCCTGCGCCATGCGCATCTTGCCTCAAACATCAACGAAGCAGCACGCTGTGGCGGAGAACGAGCTCTACTTCTAGGCAGCAGCTCAGCTGAAGGCATTGCTTCGCCGCACGCCCTTTCTTCATCTTTCGCAGCTACTGGGACGTGGGCTGCTGAGTGTCCGAGCCAAGCTGCCGCGCAATGTTGCAGTTCACGAGGCTCAAGTTGGCCCAAGCTGCACAAGATGGCCTTCACCATGTTTCCCGCATCTTTCCCGCACCGAAGCTCTCTCTCTCTCTCTCTCCAGCGGGCCGGCTGAGAGCTGCCAGGCTCGCGAGATGGATCGCAGACCTCTCCTTGTGCGGGCTGCGAGCTGCCGTAGCTGCTTCTCCTCGTCTCCGCGATGCGCTTCAAGCGACTGCTTCTCCGCGAGGTGCTCGCTGAGCAGCCAGCAGGCCCAGTCCCAGCGCCGCTGGCAGCGCCGGGAGTTTGGACTCCAAGCGAGGCCGTCGGCGGCCGCGGCGAAGTGGTTCCAATGGGCTTCCAAGGAATTGCGCAGGGACTCGCTGAGCAGCTCCAGGCACACGGCCCAGTTTTTTCCCCCGCCAAAGGCACTCCTTATCGTAGCCTGGAGCATGAAGGGGTTCCGCCGCAAACTCTGCTCCCGCGCCTTCTGCAGCAGTGAGGCCGCCCAAAACCAGCGTCTGAAGGCGGTGCTGCCTGCACCTGCAGTGGTGCCCTTTTTTTGCACGAGGACGAGGCTGAAGAGACCGGCGTCGTACATCCCCACGTGGCACTCGAGGCGCCGCAGCAGGACCTCCCCCAGCAAAGTCAGCACCGCAGTCCACTGCCGTGGCCAACTGCAGGCCCGGATCGTTAAAGTGAAAGCCAGGGATTGGCTTTTCAAAAATCGGCTCCTCCGCATCCCGATCATCCCGATCCGTTTCTTGCGGCTCAGCGTGTCAAGCAAGCGGAGGGACAGCGTCCACGCAGCTCCCGACACGCAGACCCGCAGAGCTTCGCAGCAGACGTAAGCATCGGCACTTCCGAAACGGGGAAAGTGCTGAGAAAAGATCATCATGGCCCTTTGCCAGGTCGCCTTCAGGTGAAAGCCATCGCAGAGGGAGCGCATGCCGGCGACGGAGGCCAGCGCATTCGGAGGCTTCAGCTGTGAAAGATGCTGCAGCGGGTCACGCCAGGATCTCCAGCGCAGGCCCTGAGCCCGGTCGTAGCCAGACAAGCCTTGGCCCTGCGCTGACTGCGACTGCACCAGCGCCAGCGACAGCACCCATGGCCCGCCGGCGTGCGCGAGGTGAGCAAAGCCTCGGATCAACTTTAAAGCCACTCGCTGTGCAGAGAGCAACGCGGGATATGCGGGGCAACGTTGCAATCCGAGAAACCAAAGTGAAAGCGGACGATTGATATCCCCTTATCCACGACGTCCAAGATTCCAAGAAACCAGCCCGTGTAGCTTTCCCAACGGCAGAATTGATCCCCCTTCCACATTCAAGCCATAGCTACACGACTCACCTGGGCTAGGTTCGAGCTAACCTCTGTTCGGACTGAACTTGTTGTTGCCCGTGTGCTCCTGTATCTTTAACTTTGACCTGCCTTGTCCAGCGACTTGGTCCTCTCGTTGTCAAACGCTCCAGTTCGCTTCGAGTCGCTTGCTCCTCTGTCCCAGTTGGTGTCATCCCTTTCGAGCGGTCTGCTGCTCTGCTGTCTAGCGAGTCTAGCCGCCTAGCGGCCTCGCCCCTTTCGAGCATGCTCCGCTTTCTCAACTTCTCTGATTCCTTCCGAGCAGTTGGCTCCTCGTTCTCAACTTCTTCGGCCACTTCTTATCGGACTCTCTTCCCCCAACAGTTTAGTTGCACTCCGGCAGTTTAATGCTTAATGCTTCCGGACAGTTTGCCTTGCCAGCTTTTGTCGTCTTTTTCACACGGTTCCCCTTTCTCACCTTTTCTACTCCCTCTCTCTTCCCCGCTCTTGACTTCTGTGGTCCCTTTCGAGCGGTTTCCTCCTCCTCATCATCATCAAAGTATCGATTCCGACCACTGCGCTGCTCTTGGTCAAGTTCTCTCATCGCGGCAAACAGATCGGTTCCCGTTGCTCAGCATCGATAGTCATGTATCTCCTGCTTCTAGCCCTTTTGAGTTGAAGCCTCTTTGACATCCCTTCGACCGCTTGCTTCAGAATTGCCCAATGCGACCGCCTCCTTCTCAAGCACATAATCTAAATGTGATTCGTCCCTGTCACACATACGGTGTACTGTTGAGCGTGCGTCAGTATTCATTCAACATGTGAGCAGCGGTTTCACGTTTTGATGTTATCGATTTTGTGCTTCACGTTATCGTGAGCGAGTCAGTGGGAGACGGGAAGCACGGCTCTTGTTTGTGGCAAAAATCGGTAAAACTCACGCGAGCTTCAAAGCCCCAGGGCTAAACAAGACCTGGAGCTACTGCAAGCCTGTTCGAGACTTGAAGACCAACCTCAAACCCGAATTCAGCCTCTTGACATTCTCCTCGGCCTCAAAGTAGGGCTTGAAGCTTGAATAGCCCATGGGCTTCAAAGCTCGCAAGAGTCTGCAGAGTAGCTATCGATACGTTGTCGATACATACACTATTTGTGCCACATGCCCAAACGACATGTCCACAGCACGGTTCTGCAGGCCGCCGAGAAACTCTCAAAAACCAGCACCCGAAGCAACAAAGTCCGCAGCACTGCCCGAAAGCCCTTTGCCCCAAGCCCAAGCCATAAAGTCCGCAGCACTGCCCGAAAGCCCTTTGCCCCAAGCCCAAGCCATAAAGTCCGCAGCACTGCTCGCAAGCCCTCTGCCCCAAGCCCAAGCCTTAAAGTCCGCAGCACTGCCCTGAAGCCTTTTGCCCCAAGCAAAACATAAAGTCCGCAGCACTGCCCGGAAGCCCTTTGCCCCAAGCCCAAGCCGTGAATTCGCTGTAAACAGAAGATCCCGTCTATGCCTGTATGCCTGATATCGATTTTGGTATGTCATGTCACCGTGGCCCAATCAAACTTATCTTTAGGCACTACGGCTATGTCATCGTGGCCGACACTTGTTAACTCCACCCTGGCCTGGTGCTCATGCGAGAACCCCAGACCACTTATATCTTCCGAGTATTTAGCCTGTCGCTCTGTTCCTATTCAAAAGGTATAATGTCCTTTGCACACGGTTTGCTCCCTGCTCACATAATCTCAAACTCCTTTCGGGCGGCTTGCTCCTCTTGAGCGGTTTGCGTAGTTTTTTCTCTGATATTGTTCGAACGATCTGTTGTTCATTGTGTTGCGGCTTGCCGTCTGCCGTTCCCGTTGCAAATCGTCTTGTACCTTTAAGGGAGCTGTCGTGTTTTTCGCGGCGTCGAAGCCCTTTCGAGCGGTTGGCTCTTTTTCCTCAAGCTCTCCGCTCGGAACGGTATCTTCGCCCCTCTGTTCCAACTCGTCTAATCTGCCTCAAGCGGCTTGCTTTTCTTGTTAGTTGCTCCTATTCAAGGCCTCGAACTTCCTCATCCGTGCGAGCGGCTCGCTCTTTTTTGCAATTTATGCTGTCCTTTTCGAGCGGCTTGCTCTTCACCCGCACCTTTCTAGTGGTTCCTCCTGCTTTCAATTTATCGCATTGAGTGGCCAGTGGTTTTGCTCCATTCTGAAAGGCTCTCGTCCCTGTGGAGAGCTTAAACTTCTGTCCCTGCATCGCTCAGCCTTTTTGGAACTCTTTCGGATCGAACAATTTGCTTGCCCTGGAATGCCGCCGAAGGCTCTTTTCACCGTCGGGCGCAGCCGCACGTCTTCGAAGACCCCAAGCAGGGCGAGGGCCTGCAGAGAAAAGCACAGGCGGAGCTTCTCAGAATTCTATTCTGTTGGCTGCTAGGAACGCTCCTGCCTCTCTCCAGTTTGAGTCGTTCATTGCACGGCTCGCCGCGGGAAAAACAACTTCGCCTCCGCTCGGCTCGGGGAATGCACATGGGGAGGCGTCCCTACTCTAGGTGAAAAGGGTGAGAGAGGCAGAAACAAAATAACAAAGGAGAGAAGCGAAGCGATTTTCGAATAAAGGCAAGCGAGCCGAACACACGGTGGGGAGCGGCCTGTTAGGCGGAGCCGGCGCAGCTCCCTGAGCAGTCCCAGGCCAGAAGGCCACCGAGACTCGAAGCAGGTGCTGCAGAGCTGCCGAAGTGGACGCCGCAGGGCCGGCATGGAACCGTCCTCGGCAGCCTCAGCCGCGGCAGCATATGCAAGGCGGATAGCCACGGCCAGCTGGCCAGTTTCAGCGATGCTTTGGGCCAGCGCCACCTGGAAACTTGCCAGGTGGTCTTTCAGGAAGCCCAGTGACGCCTGCCATCTCCCAGCACGGGCGAGCACTCTGAGCCCCACTGCTTCCGGCAAGTGTAGCTCTCTTGCACCAGTCTCCGTCTTCGTGTCTAGGTAGCGGAGGACGACCAACCACGGGCTGCTAGCCAATGCCTTCGACATCCAGACTTCGCAGGGCTGCAACCGCCGACCTACATGGTAGGCCCAGAGAATGCCAGCCCAGTGTACGTTGGCTGGCCCCTTCGCACGTCGCCAGCGCAAGTCTCTCAGACCCGCCTCTCTGCCCTCTGAACTGCGTGAGCTGTGGGGCTGGGGCCATCCTGAGCTCAGGCTGTCTGAAGTTCTCGCTGAAGGGTATGCAGCTCCCAGCGGTTGCCACCGCCACCGCAGGTCCATGCGGACTCAGATGCGAACACATCACGGAAGGGGCTTAGGGCCGAAGGCGCATAAAAGGGGCACTCGGCAGCTGCGAGTATCCATCAGTGATAAAACAACGACAATGCGAAATACTCATTATCCAAGCACTTACAAGGGCAGCTTGAAGGCAAAAGGCAGATGGACCTTGCGACATGCCGGCGCTGCGTCGCCGTGCTTTCAGCCGTCCCTCGATCCCGGACTGGAGAAGCTGAGACCCTGCCCTTTTTTGGAGACCCGTCCCTGAGACGTGTCTGAAAACTGCGACTTGGCAGAATGGGACCCCATCTGGATCGAAAAGAATGCCAAGTCCTCTGCTGTTCGAGCGTCTGTGCCATTTCGGCTCGGCTTTTCGGCTTCAAGCTGAATCTCTTCTACTGAACTTTGGGGACGAAGCTCACAAAGGACCTGAACCACCTACCTACACAGCTCAAGGTGAAGAGCGAAAACAGATGAAAGCATTTCAGCAGTCGGCTCAGTCAGGTGACATCATGTCGTTGGTCCCTGTTGGCCTTAGACGCAGCGCCGTGGCAAGCATGCCCGTCGACGGCTGAGGTCTGAGGCCCCGACTTGGAAGTTTGATCCGCGCCCGCCTGGTGCGAGCTCGACCCCCAGCAAAACGAGAGAGAGAGAGAGGGAGAGAGAGAGAGAGAGAGAGAGAGAGAGAGCGAGAGAGAGAGAGAGAGGGAAAGAACATCCCAAACCGCCACACGCAACGATGGGCATGTAACGTTCAATGGTCGCAGAATATGTAAGAAAACTGAATGGCCCTTCACAGGATTACATTGAAGCGGAAGAGACAACTGCTGCAGCCCTGGGCTGGAGAAGTGCTCATAAGCCAAGTGACCTTCTTGGAGAGGTACACGGCCATCTCTCTCTCAGCCCCTGTCGGTGCTCAAAAGTCTTGCAGCGCCGGCAACCGAATAAGGGTTTGTGCTGTTGAGTTGTCGGCTTAAACATGGCGCGGCATCTGCTTGTGCGCGGCGGGAGCATGGAGAGGTGTTTAGTCTTCATCGCAAACGAGCATAGCACTGAAAGCCTTTCCATGTCTGTCTTATGTCTGCAGAGGTTAAGTGTTGGAACTGGCGGACAACCGAGAAGCAGGTGACGGAGGCGTCTGAGGCCTGGGAGGGAGTCGAAAAGCACATGTCATGGAAGCCTGAACCCTCCAACCCCTCCCCCACAGCCGCGAGACCAAAGGCGTTACAGCCGTAGCAAACACTATGTACAACTTTTGTGTTTGCCAAGGCCTTCCTAAGCCTTGCCAGGAGACAAGATCTTACTGAGTGCTCTGATGTTAGGATGATATTCGGTAACAAATCAACCAATTGCACTACCTTCAGGGTGGGGTGCCGGGCAGGAGGCGTCGCGAGCTAAGTATGTGCAGTGGGAACATGGACGTCATTACCGTTCGGGCCTGGATGCTCGGTCCTATGGCCTGGGAACGTGGATGTCTCAAACATCCCATCCTCACCCCAAAGTTTGGTCTGGCAACTTGCGGTTCGGGCGGAAGTGCTTTCGCTCGGAATGCACGCAGAATTTGGACTAAACGGCAGCACCACATCTCTGCGACATAACGTCCAGTCCGGTTTGCGGGCTTAACAAGGACGGGATGACATAACACTTTAGGCATCACCTATCCCGGCCTTCCAGGAGCTCCAGCAAATCCGCATTTGGATGACCTGACCAGGAGCTCGAAAGACTTGACTAATGCTCGCAGGCTCCCCCCGCGCCTGACTCTTTGGCGATGTCGAGCGGTGTCTTCCCATCCTCTACACTTTACACTCACAGCTCATCCATGATCAGTCAATGAAGGCTAGAACGGCTACAACGTCCTGGTTCTTGATCCTCACAGACCTCCAAAAGCTTGCAGCTCGACTCTGACGGTGGACTTGGCGGTCTTTGGGTCCCCCGACCGTTCGCCCCCGTTTTCAACGATCAGCCAGGCCTCGGAGCTCTGGGCCCTCGCAACGGTCTGCGGCCGAAGACGAGCCTGTCTTGGGTTCCGGGCGACGTCTTTGGCGCCGCTGATGGCCGCTTCGTGCAGCGCCGTGTTGCCGCGATGATTCTGCCTTGGGAGTCGCGATGGGCGTGGCCGACGGCGGAAAAACCGGGGAGGCCCCGCGCTGATCTCGCTCGGCTCCACCCCAAAGCAGCATTGAGGCCACCAGACGCTTATCGTGGATGCCGGCCTCCAAGCCCGGCTTCGGCTTCAGGGATGGACGGACGGAGGCTTTAAGAGCGCAGCAAGGATGAGAGGTGTGTTGCCATGGGCATCCACAATGTTGACATCCGCGCTGCACTCCACCAACCTCGGTCAGAGGCATGCTTTTCAGGGCGAATCCAGTCTTTGCCCCTGGGCCTCCGCGCAAACTCCCTGCAGCAGCCTCCCCAGCCTTAGCCGCGCAGTGCAGGGCCGTGTTCCCCAGGGCATCCTGGCAGGGCACCGAACGGCAACATCCAACCACATCATCTTGTTCCATGCTCCCCGAAATGCTTGTTTGCACTCTTTTTGGGCTTCTTGCAGCAGTTGATGTACAAGCTGCACAAGAGTTCTGAGTTCTGACAGCTCCGATGTGGAACTCTGCTGCACCACTGGCTCTGTCTCCCCACGCAGTGACAGCAACCGCCCTGCAATGGATACAATCCACGACCTGCTGATTGAATGGTTTACGCAAGGCGGGTGTGGGAAGGAGCACGGGGCCCAAGCCCAAAACGTGCCTAAACAGCCGCATTATGCAGTCGCGCACAAGCCGCATGGCCTGCAGCACCCCTATTTTAAAAGCATCTGGTCCTCGTTGTTCGCCTTGAGCGACTGTGGGTGCACTCCATCTAGATACGGCACGATGATTCGATGATTCTCTCGGCAGTGTAAGGAAAATCTGCTGGGACGCTGCGGCTTTGAGGCAGCGAATTAGCGGGCAAGGTGTTTTCAAAGCAGATTCTGATATAGAGCCTGGCCTCCCACTCGCATGTCTGACATATCTCTCGTCGAATTTCTTGCTTTGAAACAAACCTTGTCCTTTCAACATGGCCGCCCTACGTAAGATGGCGTTTGGATTTTCGCCCATCTCACGCTGTTGCAGGCGAGAGCAAGAAGTCACGTGCTGATTGGAGCGAGACTGCTTGCTCCCGTTTTGGCAAATAAGGATGTAATTTGGGATCTCACTGGACTGTCCCCAAGGCATCGAGTGAACTGATGCTGATCTATACTGACCTCGCCTCTACCTCGCCTCTACGCATTGGACCCATTGGTGATGTGGGCGCGCTCCGCGCACGGGAGCAGTCACCAGGTCACCGTCATGATCGGCAGCATGCAAGCCACAAGGGAGGCAAGAATAAAGGAAAACATCGCAGGAACAAGATGCTCTTCTTCGGGAGGGAAATACTCTGCTTCCTTCTTCTTGAAGTACTGCATCCCGATTTCCTGAGCACGAAATCTCAGAGAAATTCTGAAGTCTGCATTTTTACGATTGCCTCTGAAGGTTTCAGAGGCCCCAGCCATGGCAACGGAGACGTCTCCGTGAGCATTCGCAGACATGCTCTCCTCGATAGGCTCCCTAAGACGTTAGGCTTTACAAGACATGGGTATATTTAGTATACTCAGAGACTGCCCTGATCTGAACCGGAAACTGTCGGATATCACCGGCGGGAGATGTACATCTGTGCGTATACTACCAGATGAGCATGATGATGCTGCTGATGATCATGTTCAAACTGCTGATATAACACTTGATTTGACTTGATCTGATGTGGTGCGATGTGATCAGACGTGATGTGATGTGCCCTGCTCTGCTGTGCTTTGCTTTGCTACGCAACGCTTTGCTATGGTATAGACAAGACAGGACCTGACAGGAAATGACATGAAAGGACATGATACGGCAAGATTCCATAAGATGAAATGACATGACATGCCATGCCGTGCCGTGCAGTGCTGCGATGTGGTACGATGTGGTGCGAGACGAAACGATACGATAAGATACGGTACACAACAAATACCACCAGAGGCGACACGATACGATACGGTACGATACGATATGATATGGTGCGGTGTGGTACGGCATGGTGTGGTATGGTATGAAATGACATGATATAAGAAGATACAGTCTGATAACATCAGATATGGGAAAATAAAACTTGATAAGATATGAGCAGATAAGATAACACAAGATAAGAAAGTCAATATAATATACGATAAGACAAGATAAGACAATATAAAACATTGAACTATCTCATAGAATATCATATTATGATAAGACACGATACGTTATGATATGATATGATATGATATGATATGACATGATGTGATACGGTTCGCAGATGTGCAGGCCGCTTGACGATCGTGTCCCCCACCTTGTACACGTCATCTGCTAAACTCGTTGGAATGATTTCTTAACCACGTTGAAAACACGACATCTTAACTGCGCGTTTTTCCTAAACCGCGCGCAAGCTTTTCTCTCTAAAAGCGACGCGGCCTGGCGCAGATACGACGCGGGATACGACGCGGCTGGCGGGGGATACGACGCGGCATGGGCGGATACGACGCAGCATGGAGCCGATACGACGCGGGCTGGCGCAGATACGACGCAGCTTGGGGGCGATACGACGCGGCTGGCGGGGAATACAACGCGGAATGGGCGGATATACAACGCTGCATGAGGGCGATATACAACGACGCGGATGGCGGGGAATACGACGCGGCATGGGCGGATACGACGCAGCATTGGGACGATACGACGCGGCCTGGCGCAAATACGACGCAGCTTGGGGGCGATACGGTGATACGACGCGGCTGGCCGGGGATACAACAACGTGGCATGGGCGGATATACAACGCAGCATGAGGGCGATAAGACGCGCATGGCGGGGAATACGACGCAGCTGGGGGCGATACGACGCGGCTGGCAGGGATACGACGCAGCTTGGGGGCGATACGACGCGGCCGGGGATACGACGCGGCATGGGCGGATACGACACAGCATGGGGGCGATACCACGCGGCCTGGCGCAGATACGACGCAGCTTGGGGGCGATACGACGCGGCTGGCGGGGTATACGACGCGGCATGGGCGGATACGACGCAGCATGGAGCCGATACGACGCGGGCTGGCGCAGATACGACGCAGGTTGGGGGCGATACGACGTGGTTGGCGGGGAATACAACGCGGCATGGGCGGACGTGGCCGGGTACGACGCAGCTTGCAGGGGACGACACGACGCGGCTGGCGGGGAGTACGACGCGGCATGAGCGGATGCGACGCAGCTTGGACGCGGCATGGGCGGATACGCCGCAGTTTGGGCGGGATACGACGCGGCCGGGTACCACGCAGCTTGCAAGGGCCGATACGACGCGGCTGGTGGGGAATAGCGGATACAACATGATACGACGAAGCTTGGGCGGGATACGACGCGGCCTGGCGCCGATACGACGCGGCATGGGCGGATACGACGCAGCTTGGGGGCGATACGACGCAGCTGGCGGTGAATACGACGCGGCGTTGGCGGAGATACGACGCAGTTAGGGCGGGATACAACGCGGCTGGCGGGGAATACGGCGTGCCATGGGCGGATATACAACGCAGCTTGGGGGTGATATGAGGAGGGGGGTCTGAAATGAGCACCGATACTATTTCCGGGCCGTCTGTGTGGTGGGGTGGGGTCAGGGACTCTGCCACAGGCATCTCTCTCTCTTCGCAAGCGACATGACCGCACCAACTGGACTGTACCTTACGATTACGAGGGGTCCTCATGGGGAGATACGATGCGGATGGCGAGGGATGTGAGGGGTTTCGGCGCATAAAAGATTTAAAAGGTCGGCTTATTATGTGACGGCTCATGCTGCCGCTGAGCGGTTCGCGGCTGGCGGGGGCACATTCGCGGACGCCAGTGTTCTCGGCACGGACTGCTGCCATTTTGATGCGGCATTGACGCGTTTTAGTAGCGAATCACGAAGGTGACGCTGGTTTCTGTTGTTGCACTACTGCAGCTGCATCTATCATATCTAGACGCAGTGAAATTGTAGAAAACCTATTCGATTCTGTATTTCCCTGGAAAACCTATTCAGCTCTGCATTTCATGGCCCAAGGGTGCATGGATCACTCATGGGGCTCTTCTGATCGCCTGTCTGGATGGGAATTCCCATTCCGGGGCCACGGGGCAAAATGCGGCCCTTAGGAACGGAAGGGCTTTTTGGAGGCAAAACCTCAGGCATTAGCTGCCAGAACAAGGAGCCTCTGCAGTTTACATGCTTGCAAGACTTGGCCTGAAAGCACTGCACCAACTGCGAGTCTTCGCGATTAGGACAATGTGTGCAGGCGGTTAAGGGAATTCCGATCAAGGGTTAGGACAAATCGGATGCAAAGGTTGGGACAGAACTGTTGGCATGGCTAGGGCAGAACATGCTTGCGGTTAGGACAAAACACCTTCATGGTCAGGAACGTCTCTCAAACTCGTTTGGAGCTTCGTGCACTCTGTCCCCCCAGTGTGGACAGTGTGGCTCGCCTGTGAGCTCGCAGTCTGTTGCCAAGGGCTACACCAGCATAGCTGGCCATTTCAGAAGGAGCACCCTCCTGCCGTCGGATCATCCAGTAGGCTTCTTCAAGGGCTTTTGCAGCCCTGCTGGGTGATGGCTCTGTGGTGAGTTGGGGCGAGGTATCTTGCGGTGGCCACAGTCCTTTCTCGGCGCACCTGCAGAGTTGTGTCTAGACGAATGCGCTAACTGTCTACACCACATACATAGTCTGGAGCAGCAGCAGCAGCAGCAGCAGCAGCAGTAGTAGTATAGATAGCCTGCAGTTGGTGGTCAGCAATGCAGTCCACACCTCTGTACCGCCTTCGACCTACAATGTACCATACACGATGTGTGGACTTATGAAATGGAGATCCTGTCCTCTGCCCCAGGCTCTCCGAGAGCTCTTCGTTGAAGTTGAGGAGGATACTCCTCAGATGCCGACTTCCCACGCCTGGAGATCAGGCAGTTGGATCTGAGGGTCCCGGCCCAAGTTGCTGCCATGCACCTTGATCCAGAAAGACACGGGAAAGACACGAGCAAGGTGGTGCAGCTCACGGATGCGGCGCACCCCTGAGACACGAAGCGGCCAAGGGCGCTTGGTGGGAGGCCCGCGGTGGGTCGATGTGGGTCGATGTCAAGTGATCTGTCTCGATGGCTTCATTTGATTCTCACGTCCGTGTCTTTCGTGCGCATCTAAACATGGCATGCTAACCTCGGGCTTTCAAGCCAGGAGAGCCACAAGGTCCACAACAAGAGATATGCATGCGAAGCTTGCCGCTGCCGAATGCTCCTTCGCGTCGATGTCGACATCATCTGCGTCCTCGCAGCGGCGCAAATACACAGATGCGTGCACGCCAAATCTTTGAGGTGTCGGTCTCGAGGCAGACCATGGTAAACCAGAGCTGTAGTGTAGTTGCGGAATGTGGTCTCAGATTCCAAAGATCCGAAACTTCGGTCATCGGGTTCGTCTCACAGCTCAGTGTGTATCGGAGGATCAAAGGGGAGGGGGTGCGTCTCAATTTGGCTGGAAGCTTCTCGGAGTTCATTTGTTTCGTTGATGGGGTTGGACCTCGACCGAGAAAAGAAGCGAGCCAAGCCACGCAACAAGCGGCCGCGTGAAGGCTCGAGATGCAAACAAAGGCTCTCGCTGCCTCCTATTCGGCTCCACGAGGAGCCTCCCCCAAAGGGTATCAGTACAGTGCTCGGTTTTTTCCTCGAGCTAGCTGTTCTTAATGAACGGACCCACAATGTGTCCATGACTGGGATGTCTTTTGCTGTAAACTCTCTTCCAGTTGCGCTTTTGAACTTGGTTCACAAATTATCTTTGAAACGGACCTTCAAAACCTGGCTGATGAACCTCTTCTCGTGCTGCCCTCCCATTGCCGTGCTGCGTCCCGTGCTAACAGCTGGTTCGTGAAGAACTTGTTCATGCAGCAATCTTGAGGAAACTGCTCACAGATTAAAGAGTCGACTCATGTACAAATTGCTGCCGTATTGCAGGACATGTCGCCGATAGAGTGATGGCGGACGCAACTCAACCTCAAGAGAGTTGATGGAAGCAAACCCCAACCCCGCAAAACACAACGTACGTTGTGGGCAAGCCCATCCCAGACTTCACAGCACGTATTGATGAGTCGAAGCGGCTCACTTATCGTTCAAGGACAGCTGTTCGACCGAAATTTCGCCACATGAAGCAAGTGCACAGTGCAAATCGCTGTAGCTCCAGGAAGCCATTCATGGCTCCGATGTCGCCAGCGGCGGCCGCATCAAAGATCGAGGCCATGGCGGCAGACGTGCAACAAATCTTCCCCAAGACCCGTTGGAGGTGTCAAGCTAGAGGCTCCTGAAACGGCGTTTGTATCAAGACCGTGTTTCTCAATATGTCTCAGTCTGATGGATAAGACATGGCAAGGGAAGCGAGAACGTGGCAATTCGACTGCGTTGCATCAGCTCCGGCAGTGAGAATCCCTCTCCTCTTGCCTTTCCCTGGCAGTTCCAAGCTCCCCCCTTTTTCGCCGGCCGGGCATTTTTGGGATGCGAAAGTAGCTCTGCTGGGCCTTTTCCGAGTGCATCCGGCCGGGTACCGGCCCCGCTCTTGTGGCCTCGCTGCAACCGCGAAGGCCGAAGGCCTCCGACGTCTGACGTCTGTTGCTTCTTGGCTCCCGGGTCCCGGGTCCCGGCTTGGCTTGTGCACCGGAGAGGCAACGTCACGATAGCAAGAGGCATCAGGCATCCTGCGAGTCGAGAGGTGCTCGTCCTCGTCTCGTGTATCACAGTATCGCGACAGTTGCATCGAATTAGCGATGTGAGCCGGTGGACCTTTGGCACCATCGGTTGAAAGGTGACACAGTCGCAACACAGCCACGCAAACACTGGACTACGCCGTACCGAGAAGCAGTGCTGGCTAAGAACTACGGGTTGCAAGCTTGCCGACGCTTTCAATATTTCTGTCTGATGCAAAAGGCTGCAGCGGCACCAAATCTTTCTTGGTCTCACTGCCCTCAGGTCATCTTGCCTCCTTGGCTGATATACCTGCGCACAAGGCCACCCGAGGCTAGTGATCCAGGAGCAGGGATGCCCAAACGACTCGCGAGGCGCACAGAAGGATGCAGTCGCCCTGACGCAACTGGATCTTGGTAAAGCGATCATGCTGTAGGCCGACTCGCTTCAGCGGGAGAATGATTGGGCTGCTCCTGGGCAGGACCTCGGTAGCGTTGCACCCATACGCTGCTGCCCTGTATCGCAGGTGCAGCGCAGGCCAACAAGGGAACGGCTTCGAAGCGAGACCCAAGGATGCGGTCTGCCTGCGGAACCACCTCAAAGAATCGTCAACAGCAGCTGCGATAAACACACTTTACCACTTTGAAGTACCATGAAGCACAAAGGATCCCACGCCCTGTGCTTCCGCTCGCAGTCGCGTGCGGCTGACGGCGACATCGATCCCGGCATACCTGGGCGCAAGCACAGTTCCTGGACAGCGTCAAACTTGAGCCCGTCTGCTGTCCAAGCCACTCTGTAGACATGTGCATCAGCTGAGGGCTGAAAAAATCCGGAATTTGCAACCTTCGGAGGACGCACTCACCACATTGCCGGGTCTTGAATCCCTCGCGGCCTCTCCACGCTCTGCGACTGGAAGGAATCTAGATCGTACCTGGCAAGGAATGCTGCTCCAAGCGGTCCCGCTTTAAGGGCGGCCGCTGAAGCGGGGCACCAGTCAAAGAGCTCCTGCTCGATCGGGCACTCCCGGTCCTCGCGCTGGGTGACGTGTATGGAGTAGAGTGTAAAGCTTGTGTGCAGTGCGCATTTGCCGTGGCTTCTCCTGCATCGGAAAAATCTCCAGCGGGCGCCAGCCGACCTTCAGCTGTGCAGCGGTGCCTCTGCGGGCCTCTGCCCTGGGAAGGCGCGGCCGCGCGCCTTGTCGACATCCACCAGCCCCATGGCGTTGAAGAGGTTCACGGCAATCTGCGAGACGGCGGCGACGCTGGTGGCCCTGTCGCTGGCCCTGCGGCCCTGCCTCGATGCGGTCGTTGACACACACCGGCGTGATGTTCTGCGTGGCGGCCACGCGAGTTTCGTCGCCGTGGAATCGGCAGATGTCCTGTGTGCGATCTACTCAACTCTTCTTTCACGAAGGCCGCGAAGGCCGGGGTCCGCCTCTGCCAAAACAAGATGATTCCCACGAGATGTCGCTAGAAGCTTGCAGGTTGGTGTTCATCGGTCCTTGTGGATCCAGAAGTTTCGAGACCTCCCCCTCGTATACGTGTCGAACTTGAAGGAGCACTGGCCGGTGTCAGAGAAGGTGCACTGCGGACTGTTGGAAACCACTGGCTGACGGCACCTCAAATGGATCTTTCCTGTCCTGCAAGAGTCACAGAGTCATGCACATGCCTGACGATGCTCTTCTCTCAACTTGTGGGGACCTCTGTTTTGGCCACATCGTTGTCGTCCTCCGCGAACTGCCCACTCCTCAGAGAACTTAAATTCCATCAGCTTGCAGACTCGAACTGCGGTCGAGAGAGGCCGCTGCTTGTATGCATAACCATACGAGACCTGACTTCAGGTTCACACTTCTATGCAACAAGCCGGCGCAGCAGGCTCCTGCCTTCGTGCAGTGGTTCACGTGATGGCTCGTCACTCTCGCGATCAAGATCCGATCGATCCGGATGCCTGCCTTCGACAACGATTGCTGGTCTGATTGTGCCCACTGAATAAAGTGACACCAGCAGACATCACACAAGTAGAGCACATGCATGCTCAATCTGGCATGCTTACAGCTCTGCAACAAAACTTGCAGAGTCTTGGAGCAGATACCTTGCCTAGGCCCTTGCTGTGCACATGTGTCTGATTCGAGGGCTCATTTGACTCACAGCTCCGGGCAGAGTGAAATTGTTTGCAAGTCTGTCGTTTCCACTTTTAGGGGGTTAGCCTGTTGCTGGACAAGGGAGTGGATGACTGAACATGTTTGATCCGTGTAGGTGGTGGCCGTTCCCAGGCGAAGGTGAAAGGTCTCAGCTAGCAGGGCAAGGCCGTGGCGCTGGTCAAATGAAGTAGAGCAGTTGTGGCCTCGGCGACGTGCACGGGAGACCAGTCCGTGCGGGCGTACTCCAAGTGGAGGGACTGGCCGTAATACCTGGGAAGGCCGTGTCGACACCTCACCCTGAAACTCCAAGCACACAACAGGCATGACGACACTAGGCATCGGCGGAGGGCAGTTGCACTGAGGCTGTGCACTGTTTGAAGCCTTTGTCGATCTTGGAGAAGACCTGATGGAAGGGCCGTGGTGTGAGAAATGGAACGCTTCTCTCTGGAGCCTGGTCCAAGGTCTTGTAGTAAACCACGAACCACAAGGGGCACACCTCGGGCGCGGGGCGCAGCGTGCTGCAGTGCTGCACCGCCGTTGCTCTGTTATGGCGTGTGTTGCCCTCGCCTCGAAGCAGCGTATCAGAGCCCCTCCAAACAGGAAGGAGATGACCAAGGGCAGCATGCCAGCCTGACAAGTTTGACAGAGGGACACTAGGGGATGCAATTTCACAGGAACACTTGGCCTCCATGAAGATCTGAGAGTTTTCGCCACCCTTGCAGATCTCGGGATCACGGATCGCCGCTCGGTGGAGGAGGTGAGCAATCCTGCGAGCTCATGCAGAGGAGCAACAGTACACACACAAACAACCGTCGCACTCTTAGCTCTGACGCCAAACTGGACGACTCTCTTTTCGTCGTGTGGATGCGTAGCGCTGAAAGCGCCGCTCGGCGTGCAGGTTCAAGTCCTACAGCCGGCGCCGGGTGCGCATTTCAGCACCGGCCCGCTGCGGACTGACCGCCGCCGAACCCATAAAGGGTGGCGTGGGTGGGAGAAAAGCTTTAGGCGAAAGGTCGCGTCGAGCCAGAGTGCTGAAGGCAGCTACGCCGTTCACGGTTGTTACTGCGCACACAAGTGTGCTACACAACAACCGTCGCACTCTTAGCTCTGACGCCAAACTGGACGACTCTCTTTTCGTCGTGTGGATGCGTAGCGCTGAAAGCGCCGCTCGGCGTGCAGGTTCAAGTCCTACAGCCGGCGCCGGGTGCGCATTTCAGCACCGTCCGGCGCACCCTGCCCCACTACGCGCCGGCTCAGAGAACCAGGAGGTAGAGCAGGAGTCCAAATCGGCCGCCGCCGCATCCACTGCATAGACGATGTCGTCGACCGCTTTCGCCAGGATGTTCATGATCGTCGACGCCGGGGTGTGGACCCTTGTCCACCCCTCGCGTCGTGCCCTGGAGAAGTCGTCGCGGGAAACTGCGTCGGCCACATTGGCCTTCGACGGTACCCGCCGGAACTGGATCAGGGTTCCTTTCCTCGCCGCCAGGGCCCAGAAGGCTGCCAGCAGCCCGTTCACCGCCGGGTCCTTTCCATAGCCCTTGGACAACGCCGCCTGTCCCGCAGAGTTGTCGATGAAGGCCGTGATGGCGCCGGGCATGTGGGCGGAGAACGCCGTGATCGCGACCACCTGCGCGAAGATCTCGAGCATGTAGATAAATGCCCGCCGCGCCTGGAACTTCTGCAGGAACCACTGCGGGACGACGCCGTGGTCGTAGAAGACAGTGCCGCCGAGGCGCAAGACGAACCCCCAGCCGTTGTTGGCACGGTTGGGCCTGGAGGCGTCCGCCGACACTGGCACATGCCCCGCCTTGTGGATCCGCTCGCCGTCCAGGAAGAAGGCGTCGGCATAGAGCACAGCAGTGTCCAGCTCGTCGGTGGCAAAAGGTATGAAGCTAGGGCGGACCGTCGGTAGGATGTGCTCCAGGGACAGCAGCGCCGCCCGTAACCCCGTGTTGAGGCCGTCGGCAGAGTGTGCCGACGTATCCGCCGTAGATCGCCTTGGTGGATGCCTTGCCAACGCCGCCGAAGACCGCCTGTGTGAGGAAGGAGAGCCTACCCGCGAGCTTCTGCGCATCGTCGGGCTTGAGCCGGTCCTCGTCGAGCGCCTTGCGAATCTGTGCCAAGATGCGTCGCACTCTCTCGGGAGTGGGGCTGATCGTGACCCCTCGTCGAGAGATGGTGAAGGTGACGCCTTGAACCACGTGCTGGGCCGCCGCCGGTTGGGACTTGGAGGCCTTGATGCGGAAGCCCAGCGCCGCGAAGAGCTCCTTGAAGGACTCGGTCGCCGACTCGCCGAGCTCCTCAAACTCCAGGCCGTTAAAGTCATCCACGTAGTGCCCCGTCGCCAGCAGCAGGAGCCCTCGCAGCAGTTAATTGCTGGAGGGCATCCCCGCCGCGGTTAAAGTTCCAAACCGAGGCGGTGGCGCCGAAGTTCATGGCCAGGTGGTACCAGAAGGTCCAGCCTTCCGCCGTGGCCAAGAAGGTCCCGCACTGCGCCGGGTGCTTGACAGGCCACTGCCTGTAGGCGCTGAGCAGGTCGTGCCCGAACACCAGAATCACGCCGTCGACCGCCATGCTGCGGGCGAGCTCGACGAAGGCGCCGATGAAGTGGTGTGTCGGGACGTCGTCGGCGCTGATGGTCGAGTTGTGGCCTGAGCGCCGCCAGTCCTCTCCCCGGCGGATCTTGGGATCACCATTCTCGTCGAGCTGGATGATGGCAAAGGAGGCCGCGAGGAATGCCTCGCCGGGTGGTGGCTCGACTAAGACCGCCGCGGCGTCGACCCAGGGGAGTGCCACAGCCTTGACCTTGAGCCACGTCGGTGGGCGCGCCGGGCCGATGACCCGCCCTAGGCGGACTTCGTCGACGAGCTCCTTCAGCAGGGTGTCGGTGTGCTCGCCGGTGTGTGGCGCTGCCACCTTGCGCCGCACATAGTCGGCATTCACCTGGCGCAGGGACTCCATGGACGCCGGGAACCTGTAGCGGTCGTCGGTCCTCTTCCTCCAGCCTGGGCCTGGGCGGATGGCGCCGATCATGTCGAAGCCGTCGGTGAGGTCCTTCTCAAGGTTCGCCACGTCGGGGTAGTTGAGGCGTCGGAGGAGCTCCAAGAAGACTGGGATCTGTGTGACCGCCGGTTTGTCCGGCGTCGAGTAGGTCGCCCGGACCGCTGGTGTGCGTGCTGCCATCCACGCCGCCGTCTCATCGGCGAAGTCCTCGATGAGCTGCCGCACCTCGTCGATCACCTCACGCCGAATGCGTGCCAGGTCGTGTCTCCAGCGCCGGCGCAGTGTGATCCCTTCCGCCCACGCCGGTTCCAGGACCGGGTCTGTCTGGAGCGGGTGCGGCAGCAGCGCCGAAGCTCTCCAGTGGGAGTCCTCGTCGAGGTGTTCCAACGCGTCGGGTCCCGTCGGCTGCTCGGGTGCCGGGCCCATGATCGGACCGCCGTGGCTCCACAGCGCCGCCACCCAAGAGATGGTCGACTGGCGAGGCGGTCCCGTCGGTTGGGAGGTCGCCGTTCCCATGTTGGTGGCCACCAAGAGGATCAGCAGCAGGCGCCGTGCCACCCCCAGTGCCACCCATTGCCGAGTAGGCGGTGGCGGGTCCGGTCGTCGAGGGTGCTGTCGCCGGCCTTGAGGGTGTAATCCGCCGGCAAGTGGTGAAGCTGCTCCTTCACCTTGGGCGGGACCACATGGAGCTTCCCGTCGGCGCCGACCATCATGGCTTCGCGAAGGTAATGCCATGGAGCGAACTGCCGCCGGTCTGCGAGCCAACGCTGCTGTGCGTCGGCTGGTATCTTCCCCCTGCAACCTCTGGGCGCCGCCCGACCGTTCTCGTCGGTTGCGGGCGTCGTGGCGCAAGGGAGGCGCCTTCTGCCGGAGAGCACTGTCGTCGAAGGTGAGGCCGTCGAGTGTCATGGTGTCGGCCGCTCGCCGGGCCTCCTCGAGCCTGAGGCGGTCCCAGGGGCCTTTCCGCGCCCATTGCAGCGGTTCGCCGGTCCCGGGGTCCAGCCTGATCTGGCCCCAGTCCGCCGAGACCAGAGGCGGGGCCGCCCTATCCATCCGAAGTCTGCCGCGTCGGCCAGCACGGGCTGTGTCCCCAGAGCCGCCGAGATCTGCTTGGCATCCGCCGTGGACATCTCGACATTCTCGAAGAGGTAGCCGAAGCGCCGCGGAGCCACCAGCCGCCGCACCTCGAGCACGAACTCGACTGACTGCAGGAACAGGCCGCCCCGAGCGCCGTCGTGGCCCTGGCCGTCGGCTAACTGGAAAAGTCTTGGCATGGTGGGGCGGCCGCCGCGATGACATCACAGTCGCCGCCTGCTTCAATCTGCTCAATGAGCTCCGCGACCTTCGCCGGGTCGTCCTGGCAGAGGTCGCCGCGGTGTCGTATGCCCGGTACCTGGTGATCGGCCACCGCCGTGGCCGTGCGGTCCAGTTCCCAAGACAGGATGGCCGCCGGCTGTCCGACCAGATCCCACACCAGCCAAGGCGCCGCGCCGACACCGTCGAACAAGGAGAGCAAGATGACTTTGGAGCCCGCCGGGCGTCGGTGCTGGAGGCGGGGGCGCTTCTGCGCCGGGTCGGGTACCCCACCCTCTGGTCCGCCGGAGGGCGGGGCCCCGTGCTGTCCCTAGCGCTGTTTCTTCCATCCTCCGGCGCCGCCAGTGGAGCCCTGGGAGCCGGATTGTTTCCAACCGCCGTGCTGTTGGGACTCGTCCCACTGCTGGCTGCGCTTGGCGCCGCCCCAGGTGTTCCAGGTCTGTGCGCCGCCTCGGCCGCCTTGCTGCTGCCATCCCTGGCTGTCGTCGCGGCCGCCGCCCCCTCCTTGGTGGGGGAAGTACGGCGTCTGCTGGCCGCCGCCGCGGCCGAGCCCCTTGGGCTGCTCTGTCTTTTTGGTTCGTCGTCGCGGCCATCCTCGCCGTCCTTTCCCTTTGGTGGGCTGGTCGTCGATCTCCTGGTGTGTCTCGGTCACCGTCGAGTTGGGCCCGCCGGTTTCCTTGGTGATCTGGACCTGCTTCTTCATGGCAGCCGCCGCGGAGTGGGCGATGACGTGCTCATTCCAGGAGGCTGCGTCGTCCATGATCGCATTGGTGGCCGCGCCGAAGGTGAGGCCGCGCCGCATGTCGGCGCATAGCTTCCACATGGAGTCGGCCCAGAATGAGTGGACCGCCGGGATCGTCGCCTGTCGCGATCTGGCCTTCTCGCTGAACCAGTCGGTGAAGCGCTCAACGCGCCGTTCTTCATCATAGCCGCATATGATCCAGGCCCACTTGGCCGCCTCGATCCCGTCGAGCGTGAGCATGATGCCCTTGGGGGTCCACTCGTCGGACTCCTCGGTGACCAGGGCGCCGTCGACAAGCCGGAGGGCCTTGCCTGAGCTCGTCGACTTGTTCGCCGAGATAGTGTTCAGGTCCATCCCCGACGTCCAAGTGCGTCGGGAGACAATCTCGCCGAGACCCAAGGGCTTGTAGTCCTTGGTCTTGGTGTGCTCGTGCCACAGTCTGGCCAGCACCTCCTCGGCGCCGAGGAGGCGCGCCGCTGGAAAGCGGCGTTTCACCCCGTCGATGGTCTTGGCCTCGTAAGCATTGACCTGCGCCGACCATTGGGCGAAGTGCTTTGGGGGGCGCTCGTCGGCAGCCGAGGTGGCTGTTGGTGCGAGCCCCGCCGCAGGCGCGGCTGCAGGCGGAGGCG